GATGTATGTTTGAAAATTGAGGGGTGAGAAAATATAAAGGTTCCCTTAAAGTGAGATAAAACCAGGTGTCCCTAACTTCATCCCGATGCTACTTGGAAGTCCTTGACTGGCCAGCTCTTGTTTTCTAATCCAAAGGCCTGCAGAGTGCAGACAGACAGAAGCAGACTCAAGGTGGACAAAGTACACAACTTTCTTACTTGAGTGAAATATACTACTGGTCAAATATTACTCCGTTACAAGTCAAAGTTGTAAAGACCGATAAGTAAAAAGTAGAGATGTACTCGTTTTTAAAAGTACTTAAGTTTCAAAAGTAAAAAGTAAATGTCAATGTATTGTTTTATTATTGTTATATTGTTGTATGTAATACTTACAGTACCTTATGTCTTGAATCTATGCCTGCCTTCCCTCAGTGGCGGTTCTAGAGGGGGGGGGCAGGGGGGCCAGTGCCCCTGTGACAAAAAGCTTGGCCCCCCTTGTGGCCCCCCTAAATGTGGAGTTTGAAATAATTTTTACAAAACTGTTTTTTGCTATCGTTGTATGCGTATTATTTTTGATTTTTCTATCTTTGTGGATTTGCATTTTCACGTGACAATTCGCATCACATTCGCGGGAATCGCGGCAGAATAACGCCTGTCTCCTGCACGCGAGAGAGGAGAGAAGAAGAAAGTTGGTAAATGTCAGTTCAGTTGTAAGTTCATTCTTTATGTGCGTATGGGGTGTGCGATGTGTATTGTCTATTATGATATTGTAATCATTGTTTTAACTATGTACGAGGCACTGTGAGCTGACATAGCATTTGTCTATCGTCCTTTCACTGCTGTGTGCAGTTCATAGGTAGGCTATGTCCCCAAATTAGTTTTTGTCTTATATTTATATCATATTATGTTCTTATATTAGAATATCACATCAGCAAGAGTGCCGTTTTCCCGTGCACAATTGCAACTGTGATATTTATGTTATACAACAGTTAAATTAACAATAAGTTAACATTGGGAGTTACTTTTTAGACACAATATTGTCAATATTGTTTGTTTTCCCTTTATTTCGCCGACTAGAATTTCATAATGAAACCGTGAGTCTCAATGCAACACAGCGATGATTTCTTGACTGAAATCCGCGTTTTGAACGAATCACTTGCTTCTTTCCCGAATGAATCAGCCGTTTGAACAAATCGGTTGAATGAATGAATCCCTCTTACAGGGACTTGCCGCCGCCTACTGGCGGTTTTAGTTTCATATTTAAAGTATCCTTTAATTAAAACGTTAAAATTAGAAATAATTTCATATTTAAATATTGATTTGAAAAAAATCTCATAGCTTTATTTATGCAATTGTAAATGGAGTGTAAATATATTAATGCCACTTCTGTGTCACCTCTGCACTGCAAAGATGGATTTTGATTGAATTAATTAATTTGACTGGTAACAGTGGTACTGTATAATTATTGTATAATTAAGTATTATTGTATAAATAAGTATAATTACTGTATAATTTGAATGTTAGTATTTGACATAAAAGGTGATGCATAACTCTAAATAAGTTTAGAAAAAATGTCCATATATAGGTGAAAATGCCCCTGGAAATCAATTTAAGGTGGCAAATATTGCCCCTTAATTAAAAAATGTATTTCTGTCACTGCTGTGAACTGACCACTGCATAGAATATGAAAAATATGAATATCTTCGTGAGTCAGCTGTCAACAACAGGCCTAAACCAGCCATGGCACCAGCACAAAAACACAATCAGTAAAATATTATCTAATTATTAACAAAATGTTGAAAATATTGAAATATATTTTTGTCAATATTGCACACCCCTAATGTACGGTATTAATTTTGATTTCTTTAGGTCTTAAAAAGCCTTAAATTGGACTTTAAAAAGTGTGCAGGAACCCTGTAAACGGTTAGACATATCAAGTCAGTTATTTTCAGTAAATGAATTAATAAGCTTCTTGGTCCCCATTGCTTTTGCTCTATAGTTCTCAAAATGAAGAGAAAGAAGGACATCATGTCTATTACAGTTACTGTGACTAATACTGAATATGTAATGCAAATGTAAAAATATAATGGAAATGTAAATACATTGTTGAATGATTATAAACACGGTATTTTGCCTGTTAATGCCTGCAGCAGTGCAGAAAATGATATGACAACAATAAGGTCTAAATGTAACTGGCCCCTCTAACAGTACAACTGGCCCCAGCTTGGCCCCCCCAGTTGAAATGGGCTAGAACCGCCACTGCTCATATCAATATCAAATTTATTTCTAGAACACAGTTCCAGTAGTAGGATTGAATGTGAGATTGAATAAGTGCACTCAATATTGTCCACAATGGTTTCGGACACCCAAATGGCTGTTCCCTCAAATAGTGCCCTATTTAAAGTTGTTTGGCTTTTAGTATGAATATGTTAGCCTTACTGTTATCTATAAGCTAGTGTGCTCCAAAACAATGACACAATTCGCATTTAGAAGACCAAAGCCAACGTTGATTAAGAAAATCAGGTTGATGTCAGAATCCAACATCAGATTGACGTTAATCTCCAACATTGGACAGACGTTGTATTGTGGTTAAAAATGAAAAATTTGTTGATGTCAGAAACCAACATCAGTCGGGTTCTGGCGTCAATCTGACTTTCATTTCCAACCAAAATCCAACGTCGTTGACCTTACTACTTTCTACTCAAGGACCTTGACAGAAATGTAAAGTAAAAAGTACAATATTTGTATTTCAAATGTATAGTGAAGTTAAAGTAAAAAGTTTCCAGAAGAAATAATACTCAAGTAAAGTACTCAAAAAGTGCAAAGTAAATGTACGTTGTTACTGTCCACCTCTGGAGATGGATATGAAGTTAACAGGAGTTTGACAACACAGAGCGGGTGTGCAGGTGATGAGTGGAATGAATCTTCTAAAAGGTATGGAGACTGATGGAGTGTGAGACGGATGATGGAAATGAGAAACACTGGAGACAGAGGAGAAACGAGGAACACTGGAGACGAGAGTGGTCGTAGGAGAATCAATAGCTGGGTAAGTCCTCTTCTTATGAATGAGACCAGACAGTGAACTGAGGTGAAGAGTGTGTCTTTATAGTGCTGGTGATGATGAGGTGCAGGTGTGATTAGAACTCAGGTGAGGGAGTGCGCTGTGATTGGCTGGTTTGAGAGCCTGGCAGATCTGTAACAGCTGCACTGTGTTTAAAACGTGAACAGCGTCAGAGACTACACAGAACAAAAGAGAAGAAATTGTTGAATAAAGTGTTTGTTTGTTTTTTTGCGCACAAAAAGTAGGCTATTCTTGTATGGAGCTAGAAATGTGTCTTTATTACATGCGAGAAAATAAATGATCTGAGAGAAAAAAAAAGTTTGAGAGAAAAAGTTATCACACATAGCAAAAAAGCATTTCATGAGAGAAAAAATTATATTTGAGAGAAAAAGTTTCCATATCAATAGCAAAAAATAATATTTGAGACTAAAAAAAGTTTTGAGAGAAAGTATTTTCTCATAGAACATAAAAAAAATATAAATTTGAATTTTTTTTAATCATTTCTGAGAAAAAAATCTCTCAAAATTCTTTGAAAAAAAATCTTAAATATATATTTTTTGCTATCAGTGTGAAAACATTTTTTCTAAAAAAAAAAGTGTTTCTCTCAAACCGCTTTTCTTTGCTCTCGTGTCAGGATTTTGCTTTCGCTGGGAAAATTGTGTCATGGGCGGGGCCACGTTCTTTTTTTCCTATTGGAACGTTCCTATTGGCCAGTCGGGTGAGCATCGTCTTGTCTTGGGAGTCGAACTGAATCATTACACCATTGTTCGCGTTCGGTTCACCGTCCTAGAAAGATGCCGCCTCTGCCTTAGTTGAGCACGGACACTCCAATGTTTGGGTAAGAGGATGTCACACACAACTCGATGAGTAGCTGGCTGAGGAAGTTCAGCATCACTGAAGATTAAACATTAAGACCCACACAGACCCCAGGGTGAGCGCCCCCTGCTGTCCTCACTAACACCTCTTCCAGCAGCAACCTGGTTTTCTCAGAAGGTCTCCCATCCAGGTACTAACCAGGCTCAGCCCTGCTAAGCTTCAGTGGGCAACCAGTCTTGGGCTACAGGGTGATATGGCTGCTGGACATCTAGATCTGATCTCATTTCAACCTCTTATTTCAGTCTTCTGACTTAATTATGCTGTATGGTAATAAGTTTCACCCCTTCATTGCTGAGCACTTTTTTCTGCATCGTAGCCGATTTGTAGATTGTGTACACAAACATTCTCTGAATTTATGTATTTTTTTTCGATTTCCCATTCAGACATTAAAGAAAGTTCAAATCCCCAAAAAAGTCTCAAAAATGGAAATTGTGTCCCTCATCATGTTACTCATCCTCATGTTATGACAAAACCTGTCTGGTTTTATTTTGTAAATTTTAATTAAATGTAAATGGGAAATGTAAAAGGAGAAAATTCGAATAACAATGGTTGTGTTTTTACATAAAATTACGCTCTCAAGTATTAAAATAGAGACAAAAACACCATTAAATGTATGATGTTATCTATACAACCCATGCACTATTTTTAAAATCTTCTAAAGTCATACATAGCTTTGTGTGAGGAAAAAAAGACAGAAATTTATGTCGTTATTCATTCTTCCTCTCTAGAGACCGGATCACTGAACTGAACTTATGGATCGGATCAGTCCGAGTCATTAATTAATCATTCAGACCAGTTCTGTAAACTGCATCATCGATTCATTGAAAACATTCAACAACAACAACAACCAAAACGATTTGCTTACAAATGTTGGTCACATTGAAAAAAAACTCATAAATGTGCAAAGAAACCTAGTACGAAAGATTTAAGGAAGTTATTGGAAAATTGGAAAAAACTAAATGGAAAAAAAAGTTATATGGATCTCTTTTTATTAAACTTTTATGCTGTTTTGTGCCCATTTTTAATGAAATTGTGCCCATTTTTACCGATGTAAAACTGGGATCTTTACAGTCTTCACATGATCAATAGAATTTTTGCTGTATACTAAGCGAACCGGACTGTTTTATTTCTTTTCCTGAAGTAGACTGAATTTACGGCTTTATTTTTTGCACTTTTCTTAACTCCAGCTCTATGTTGCTTTGCAGACCGTTCTTGACCAGCACCTGTTTTATCTGAAACAAAAGATGGACAGACAGATCAAACTAGCTATCTATTAGAACCATATTTTGTATACATATTCATAGTAAGTGTGACGTACTTGCTGTAAAACAATCTCAATGTTTCCACTCTGTGTTAGATCTGAAAATGAGGAAAGTTTCATTTGAAGTCCAATGATGTTGTCTAAAGGGAAACATACAAAAACATAAAATACTCATATTTGTTGACATCAATCATACAAAAACATTGTATGGGGTTATATAAAATGTATCAAAACAAAAATCAAACATATCTGTTATCTATTTCTAGACAAGACGTCTTACTTTTAGAGGTGTTGTGTCCACTGTCCACCCTGAAGGCCCATCGACCGGGAACATTGACATTACTGGAGTTCTTGAGGTTTGAGATTGAGTTTCCAATGTTTGATCCAGGAATCACAAAGTAGTCAGTGGAGTTTACTGTGACATAACCAGCCTGAAAGTATGTAAAAACATTTTTCATGTTAATAGTATTTACCTTACATGTGCTGTTATACAATAGTGAATAGTAACATTTTCTTCTCAACAGGGGCAGACTTAGTGATTTGGGGGTCTTAAGCAATTCCAGGTATGGGGCCCAAACACACCAATTATGTGCCTTTTTACTTACATGCTGCGTTACCAACATGCTACCAAAAAAAAAAAAAAAACTTCTGACAGCTGATTCTCAGCTGATCCATGTCTACCTATAGGCAGTGGTGGAATGTAACGAAGTACAAATACTTCGTTACTTTACTTAAGTAAATTTTTCACGTATCTGTACTTTACTTAAGTAGAATCAATAGTGCATACTTTTTACTTTTACTTCGTTACATTTTGCAGCAATTATTATACTTTCTACTCCACTACATTTCTACAACGTTCTGTTACATTTTCGTTACATTTTCTGATCAGTTTTCCCCTCTGCCAAAACGTCATCCTGACCGTCCGTTCATCGCACGTTTCTGTCTCACCAGTGAAGTTTGGTTGCCATAGATAAATCAACCCGGTCACACTAAATGCGTCTCTATAAAACGCAATGTGTTTATCGTGCAATTTATACGCGAAAATTAGTTTTTACATGCATAGGAAACGCATTGGTAGGTTTCATAGACAGTAAAAGAAAGGTAGGTTTAGTAGTGATGTGGGGTGCGTGTGTATTATACGTTTGGTTAGGATTAGTATGGCAAGCCAAGAGGTTCAGAATTACGGCATAAATGAATCGCGTTTACAGCCAAACGCCGTCATATACGGCGTTTTAACATAATATGTGTTTATATATATATATATATATATATATATATATATATATATACCGTATATAGTAAGGGTAGGCTATATAGTAAGCTTGATGTGTATATTGCCTAATTGCAAGCTTGTTCAGAAATGGCGACAAAAATAACTGCTTTTTCATCATATTGAACATCATTATATGAGTATTGAGTTGAATAAGTTAGAATTAACTGTTTTATTAATCATTAGAATATAGACATTAAGAGAATAAATTGTTATGCAAGTACTTTTACTTTTAATACGTAAAGTACATTTAAAATCAGGTACTTTTTACTTTTTACTTAAGTAGGGTTGTCATTGTGGTACTTCTACTTTTACTAAAGTAAATATGTCTCTGGTTATTTGTACTTTTACTTAAGTACTGAGATTCAGTACTTCCTCCACCACTGCTTATAGGAATACGACGCCTACCACTGTATACATATATAAGCTCCTTCAGTATTATCAGCAGCTGTCGCGTTTCACAGGAGCTCATTACCCTACTCCCTCCCCAGCTCCTCCTCTCTCCCCAGCTCCTCCTCTCAAAAGTCAGGATTTGGCATTGTGATTCCCCTTTAAATTCTCGAATTATGTTGTACTTTAAAATCTTGAATTAATGATATCTGCAATTCTGCATACATTCATATTGCTGCTCTCTCTGCTATTATCCATGCTAGGCTGCATGGATGCATAGGGAGTTCTTGCCCAGAACGGAACCATACCGCCAATCCAAACTGTAAGCTAATTTTCAATCGTACTTGACGAAAGTGATCCTGACAGAAACATATCGTTTTACTGAATAATTAAGTAAATATAATTTCTTGATTTTTCTTTGTAAAGAAACCTCATTGCTTAACTGGCTACTCTCTGCTGTCTCAGACGACTACATCTTTTCCTGTTGGCCACCATAACTTCAGTTGGTTGCAATTCGCAACCTCACCACAAGATGCTGCTAAAATGCACACACTGCACCTTTAAGTCTGCCCCTGGTTCTGAATACAGAAAACAAGTTTATTTTACCTCCACCGGAAGTCCTGTTACAGCAATGTCACCATAATTCATCAGAATATATGAAAAATGAGTGCCTGAAATTAAAACCACTTGAAACGATGTTTCCTGAAAAAAAAAATGAAAAAATGTAATTGCTTATGGGCATTAATGACTGAATAGATTTTGTTTGCTTCTTTGTTTTAATTGTTATTTCCTCTTTCACTGTCTTTGTGTACTACTTTGTGCAATAAAGTATTGTGAAATTAAATTGAATAATGAATTGAAAGAAAGAACAGTCACATTTCAGAAGTATATCAAACGTACTGTGTTAGTGATGGGATAGTAAGGGACTTTATCCCACGTTGCAACAAAGACCCAAGAAGCGCTGAAGGTTAGATTTGGGAAATGATTGTTTATATCCTGAGTGGCGCGTGTGAGAACACTTCCATTAGTGTACTGATGATATGAAACCACACCTCTCACACGGTTGTCAAGGTCGGTCCAGAGACCAGCAATTATATCTTGGCTTCCATTAGCAGGAAAGGAGTAGGGGACAATTTGGTCTGAAGGCTGGTTGAATGTGAGGTGTCCATTATTATTAACCTAAAACATGAGAAATATTGTCAAAATCACATCACATGATCACAGATGAGTTTATAAAACATCCACCACTCACTTTGAATCAAGATGAAATCAAATTCTTACATAAATCTGCTGGTATGTGTGGCCAAAGAACAGAAATGGACCCAACAGTGGAATAACTGAGGAGCTTCCATCATCAACAGCAGGGTTTATAGTGTCTCCTGATGAGCCGAATGGGTAGAATATTCCTGGTGCTGCCAAGAGAATGCACAAAAAACATTTCTGTTCACTGATGTTAACATTTCACACTGATTTATGGGGCTCATGTTTGAATCTGGACTGGTTATGATTAGTAGCTTGACGATACTGCCCTCTGGTGGTGGACTCATGTAGATGGGACAGTAAAATATTTAACGACTAAATTAATCTCTATATGGTCTTAAATAAATAAAGTGCATTACTAGGTAACAGTGTATTTAATAAATATAAATATAATACAAAATATAAAACAAAAATATAAATACAGCACCCTCCACTAATTTTGGCACCTTGTTAAATATAAGCAAATTGACAGAGGAGTGAGTTAGAGAATGTGAAGCACCCCTTGGTCGATTTGCTTATATATTTTTGATGATGGAAGCTCCATATATATATATATAAATAAATAAATATATATATATATATATATATATATATATAAATGTATAATGTGTGTGTGTGTGTAGGAAACTTCTGTTGTATTTGACAAAACACAGGGATTAATCAATGAACATTAATGTGCAGTAAAATCAAACGGTTTTTAAATATTCACTGATTTTATGGAATAGCATATTAGCGGTCATGTGACTTTGCATGAACCACAAATTTGTCAGATAAAGCAAATAGTTTAAAGGTCCCGTTCTTCGCGATTCCATTTTTCAAACTTTATTTAGTGTGTAATGTTGCTGTTAGAGCATAAATAACACCTGTAAAATTATAAAGCTCAAAGTTCAATGCCTAGCGAGATATTTTATTTAACAGAAGTCCCCTTTCAAAGCATACAGCGAACGGCCGGTTTGGACTACATCCCTCTACTTCCTTTTTAATGACGTAACCAGAACAGTTTTTTGACTAATCTCCACCCACGGGAATACACAAAAAAGGGGCGTGGTCTTGTTACGCTCCTACGGAGAAGAAGCACTTCAGCTGCGCATGCATGAAGAGGCGTGACCTTTCCGGGCAACGTGCGATAAGCTGCGATCGAATCACAACACAGGAACCGCTGGCACAATCAGAACTCGCTACGTATTTCTGAAGGAGGGACTTCATAGAACAAGGAAGTCATCAGGCCGTTTTTTGGACAGAAAAAACAGCAGTATACAGATAAGTAAATTGTGTGAAAAAATTCAGTGTTTTTTACACGCGAAACATGAACACATGTTATATTGCACACTGTAAACACAATCAAAGCTTAAAAAAACATGAAGAACGGGACCTTTACCAACAAAATTTAGTTTTACTTCCAGTCAACTAAAATAATTTATGTTAGACCAATGACAAGATAGAAAAGTACATTTGAGTCAGATCCAGTATAAACATTTCTTTAGAGTAAATACAAGGCATATGCACTTTTTGGACAGGTAATTTTGAGTTATATACAGTATCGACCAGTATAGTATGTGACCACCATTTGCCTCACGCAGTGCAACACATCTCCTTTGGATAGAGTTGATCAGGTTGTTGATTGTGGCCTGTGGAATGTTGGTCCACTCCTCTTCAATGGCTGTACAAAGTTGCTGGATATTGGCAGGATCTGGAACACGCTGTCGTATACGCCAATCCAGAGCATCTCAAACATGCTCAATGGGTGACATGTCCGGTGAGTATGCTGGCCATGCAAGAACTGGGATGTTTTTAGCTTCCAGGAATTGTGTACATATCCTTGCAACATGGGGCCGTGCATTATCATGCTGCAACATGAGGTGATGGTCGTGGATGAATGGCACAACACTGGGCCTCAGGATCTCGTCACGGTATCTCTGTGCATTCAAAATGCCATCAATAAAATGCACCTGTGTTCATTGTCCATAACATACGCCTGCCTATACCATAACCCCACCGCCTATACGGGCCACTCGATCCACAACATTGACATCAGCAAACCGCTCATCCACACGACACCATACACGCTGTCTGCCATCTGCCCTGTACAGTGAAAAGCGGGATTCATCCATGAAGAGAACACCTCTCCAAAGTGCCAGACGCCATCGAATGTGAGCCCACTCAAGTCGGTTACGACGACGACGAACTGCAGTCAGGACGAGACCCCGATGAGGACAACAAGCATGCAGATGAACTTCCCTGAGACAGTTTCTAACAGTTTGTGCAGAAATTCTTTGGTTATGCAAACCGATTGTTGCAGCAGCTTTCCGGGTGGCTGGTCTCAGACGATCTTGGAGGTGAAGATGCTGGATGTGGAGGTCCTGGGCTTGTGTGGTTACACGTGGTCTGCTGTTGTGAGGCCGGTTGGATATACTGTTAAATTCTCAGAAACGCCTTTGGATCCGGCTTATGGTAGAGAAATGAACATTCAATTCACGGGCAACAGCTCTGGTGGACATTCCTGCAGTCAGCATGCCAATTGCACGAAATAGAGAAATAGGCCTTTTGTGTACATAGAAAAAGTCTTAGATCTTTGAGTTCAGCTCATGAAAAATGGGGGCAAAAACAAAAGTGTTGCATTTATAATTTTGTTAAGTTTATATTATATATATAATATATATATATATTTGTGTTTGTGTAGATGTGTAGTTGTACATTATGGTATGAACAGGGACTAGTTTCTTTTGCATCTGCAAATTTTTTCAAAGTTTTATCTGCAGTCTTTGCCTTCAGACAGAAACACACCGCTACTTAATTATAGATTTTCATGTTACATCCCATCAAAACTTCTGTAGTCAGTAGAAGGCATTGAATACTACATTACCTGCCAAAGTTGTGTTTGGAGTGAGAGTAGCATTATTGATGCTAATGTTCCTAACATCTGTAAAACATTTAATGTATAATGATTAATAAACAGATACAAATATCAATTACATATGTACAAAAGTCACATTAATGTATTTAGACAGATGGACTAACAAACTCACAGATGTAATATACAGTATACATAATACTCAAACACAAATATATTTACCTGCACAGTATGTAAAATAGCAGCCAGTTGGGCGCACCAACTCATATACATAGTAATTGCCTGGGCAGGCTTTCACTTTAATGGGATTGGATTGGAAATGGCAGCAGTCATTGTGCCAGTGACCGCAGACATCTCGAGTGACCACTCCATCCTCAACTGTTGGATGTCCTCCTTTCAGCCACAGTGGGGCATGAGTGCCACAGCTTCGCTGATCAACACATGAGTCTGGCATCTGAACGCTCTGACCCTGAATGAAGAGACGGTACCAGCCGTTCCAGCTGACCGCAATGTCACACAATACTTTAGAGGTAAGTGCATTGAAATATGATAATTGTAATTGATTGCTAGTGGATCTCCATGCATCGTTTAGCACAGTGTACTCATAGCAGGGGTCTGTGAAAACATAAAAAAAGTAAATTAGAAAATTAAATTACTGAAATTACTGTTCATATTACACACTTGTGGCATGGAGGATCTACCGCCAGCAGTCGATTTTGATATTCTAGCTATTATCAACTAGCCGGAATTTTGAGATCGGAATAGACGTGAAGGACTATAAATGCGTTAAGAGCTCTCTCAAGTACTGGGGAGCCATTTAGTGCTTTGTAAGTAATCAGCAATATTTTAAAATTTATACAATGTTTAATAGGGAGAGTTGCAGAGTTGATGGAACTGGGCTAATATGGTCATAATTCCTGTTTCTAGTAAGAACTCTAGCTGCTGCGTTTGGGACCAGCTGTATGTTTATGTATTAAGTGTGCAGGGCAACCACCCTTAACCCTCTGGGGTCTGAGGTGTTTTCAGGGTCCTTGAGATGTTTTGGTATGCTCTGACATTTCTGCTTTTTTCAGTTGCTTATAAACATATTAATGGCACAGGTGAAATTACACTCTATATAGCACACACAGGGCCACCATAATATGTGAACAACATGTTAATACATGTTTGTATTTTTGAGAGAATATTGTTTATGCGTGGTTATTGAAAAAACTAAAAAATAAAGTTTCTAATATAAGGCCACAAATAACATACTAAATATCTGTCCACAAGACTTTTGACTAGTGGATGTTGTCGCCTAGAGTTTTTGCTTCGAATTGATCTGAAAATCATTCTGCCTAATCATTCACATAAAACAATAGATTGTTTTAAATTGTGAAAAAAAATTTTTTGTTTGCAAAGGCAATATGCGGATGGGCGGATCCAACCCCCTCATGAATAATTAGGCAGTTCTCACCTGAGCAGACTGCATACTAATGAGCCTTTCATTCAGTGGTGTCACACAAGAAAGAATGCAAGGACAATATATATATATAAATAAATAAATATGTATACACACACACACACACACACATATATATATATATATATATATATATATATATATATATATATATATATATACACTACCGTTCAAAAGTTTGGGGTCAGTGAGAATTTTATTTTTATTTTTTGGAGGAAAGAAATCAATACTTTTATTTATCAAGGAATAATTAATTTGATCGAAAGTGACAGTAAAGACATTTATAATGTTACAAAAGATTCTAACCCTAACCCTATTAATCAAAGAATCCTAAAAAAAAAAACTGTACAACTGACAGACCAACAACTGTTTCAACATTGATAATAATAATAAATGTTTCTTGAGCATCAAATCCTCATATTATACTGATTTGTGAAGGATCATTTGACACTGAAGACACTGGTGATGCTGAAAATTCAGCTTTGATCACAGGAATAAATTACACTTTACTATATATTCACACAGAAAACAGCTGATTTACACTGGAATAATATTTAATACTATAACTGATTTTTTTTGTATTTTTAATCAAATAAGCGCAGCCATGGTTAGCAGAAGAGAATTCTTTTAAAAGTATTTAAAATCGTACCGACCCCAACTTTTGAACGGTAGTGTGTATATATATACAAACAATCAAAATATAAATGAAAGCCAAAAGCACATTTTTAGTCACACCTTTTAGCCATCCACATACCATTTTTAGCCATCCACCGCGGTAAAAAATAAACCAGTCGCATTTCAAAGTCGTTCGCGAAACGACCGCCAGGTGGCGCAAAGGG